GAGCCACCGAACGAGCGGCCGGCCGAGGAGGGACGGGAAAGGCGGGGGGAGGGTCAGCGCAAGGCAGATCACTGGCAAGGAAGCGAGTCACGGCGCGCCAAGGGGCCGGGGCCGAGGAGCGGACCGAGCCGGACGCACCTTTTCCTGGCCAGCCGTATCCCAGATAGAAAGCTTGACGGTGCGATCATCCACAGTGAGGGTCTTGCTCATGTAGGCCGCGCCGACCGTGGTGGGCAGGCCCTCAAAGTGGGTGTCGCACACGAAGCGCAGCATCAGGGAGGACTTGCCGACATTGGTTGGCTAGAGGCCGGGAGGAATACATGCGGCAGAGGGCAGACGGTGAGACAAGGACCACGGCGTGAGCGAGCGAGCGAGCGAGCGAGCGAGCGAGCGAACGGGCCGGTGAGCCGGCGACAAGGGCGGATCTCCGGCAACCGGGCGGCCAGGGCTGCGGGACGCACCCCAAGGATGCCGATCTTGTAGGCGCTTTGCATGCCAGCCGGGGCGGTACGCTGGCCCCCGGGGGCGGCGGTGGCGGACATAGTCGCGGGGGGGGGGGAGAGGAGATGAGAGGGGAGGGGGAGGGGGAAAGGGGGAGAGAGGGGGAGAGGGAGATATGAAGAGAGGGGGAAGTGCGGGGGGGGGGGGGGTCGCAAAGGCCGATCTTGCTGGTTGTGGCGGTCCCTTCCCTTCGGGGCGCCTAGCGCCCTTGTCCGGTCGACTTGAGCGCATCCGGACAGGCCGGCTGGCAGGGAGGCGGCTCTCTCGCGCGCGCATCTAGTTCGCCGGGGGGGAAGACGGGGAAGTCCCACGGAGAAGTATCCTCCCGAGTCAGGCATGCGACCCAAGGCAGTGGTTCTAGCTTCTTCGGTACTGACTAGCGCCGGCGCTTGACAGCCTCCCGCACGCCCGGCCACAAGGGGCTTCCGTCGTGTAGTGATGCAATCTACCCGTGCCCCGGGCTCGCCGTTTGCCGGCGGCGCCTGACAAGCGGCGACTCGCAGCCACAACCCACACACACCCCAGAACACACGCAGGCCTGAAAGTGGCCCTCCTGCTACCGAGTACATCTTTGCCACCCAGCATACTCCCTCCTCC